GTGTGTGTGCGCGTGTGTGCGTGCGTGCGCGTGTGTGTGTGTGTGCGCGTGTGTGTGTGCGTGTGTGTGTGTGTGTGTGCGTGTGCGCGTGCGAGCGTGCGTGTGTGTGCGCGTGTGTGCGTGCGTGCGCGTGTGTGTGCGCGTGTGTGTGTGTGCGTGTGTGTGCGTGTGCGCGTGCGTGCGTGCGTGTGTGTGCGCGTGTGCGTGTGCGTGTGCGTGCGTGCGTGCGTGCGTGCGTGTGTGGTGCGTGCGTGCGTGCGTGCGTGCGTGCGTGTGTGTGCGCGCGTGTGTGTGTGTGCGTGTGTTCGTGCGTGTGCCAACCGCAGAGCGGCGCGCCATCGCACCCCTGGCCCCGCAGCAGCCTTTGCTGCTTGCTCCCAGTGCACCCGCGCGGGGTGCGGCCGGCGGGCGCACCGCCGCCCGGCCGAGCCTGCCGCCGCCTGCCGCGCCTCGGCCATGGCGCCGTAGCGCCGCGAGCTGCGCCGACGGCAGCGCCGCAGGCACGGGGCTCCTCGCGACTCCTCCGATGTGGTGCGGTCGGTGCCGATGCCAGGTCGCTTCGGCTCCGGATGGCGGTCTCGCAGCGGAGGCCTTCTGAGCCTGCCGACCTCCGCCGATCCGATTCATTTCGAGCGCCGCTCCGACGTTCGGCCAAGCGCAGAGGGGGGTAGGGGGAGGGGGAATGCGTCTTAGAGGCACCCCTGCTTCTGAGAAGGGGCGGGCCTTGTCTGCAGGTGCAGAGGGCCCGCGCCTTCCAATAAGCAGCCTCCTTCTCAGAAGCCTTCCCCCCTCCCCCCCCTTGCGCGCCGCCGAGACTTCCGACGATCCGGTTCCTTCCGATCGCCGCCGCAGCTCAGCGATTTGACGTTGGGCTCTCCCGCAGGCGCGCGCCGCCCCGCACTCCTGCCATGACGGCAGCTCCGTCGGCCGCCCCCGCGGCGAGCCCGGCCAGCCTGGCTCGCAGGGCCCCCGTGGCCCGGGGCCCGCGAGGTTCGACGAGCCCTGCCTCGCCGCGGCAGCCGCCCGCGGGCCGGGCCTGCGCGAGGACCGGGCGGTCGGGGGGCCCCCCGGGAGGTGTGGTGACCCCACCGTGAGGTGAGTCGGTGGTGCTGCGGAGTGGTCGCACGGATTTGGGATGCGGGCCGTTCTCCGAGGACGTGTCGGGCAGCGGGGGCCTCCGGAGACGGACCGTGCGGTGAGGTCGGGCCGGGCCGGACGGAGCCAGGCATGTCCAGCCAGAGGAGAGGAAGTGCACCAGGAGAGCGGGAGCCGGGTTGGGCCAACTCCGATAGCCGGCACATCCCGGCCGCAGATGCACCAGCGCCGGTGCTGGTGTTTGTGTTTGCTTCCCGGGAGTCGCACCAGTTTGCCTCGCGGTGAGGTCTGTTGGGCTGGCGAGGTCACCGCACGGCCCGTCGCCGCACGGCCGTTGGACCCCCGAGTGACACGCGAGCTCTGGGGGGGCCCGTGCTCTCGGGCGTGTGGTGGGATGGTGCCGCTCGCTCGGCTCGCCCCGCGGAGGAGGAGGAGGAGGAGGAGGAGGAGGAGGAGGAGGAGGAGGAGGAGGAGGAGGAGGAGGAGGAGGAGGAGGAGGAGGAGGAGGAGGGGGAGAGGAGGAGGAGGAGGAGGGAGGAGGAGGAGGAGGAGGAGGAGGAGGAGGAGGAGGAGGAGGAGAGGAGGAGGAGGAGGAGGAAGAGAGGAGGAGGAGGAGGAGGAGGAGGAGGCTCGCCGCGGCCCTTCGCTTCCCGCCTCGTGTCTTGGTTCGGATCTCGGCCGCGGCCGCGGAAGGTTTGCCCCGCACCGGCAACCGGTGTGAGGAGATGGTGTGCTCTGCGGCGAGCACGGTTCCCCCTCGGGAGTGTCGCGGGAGAGTCCAGGTACGACGCAGGCGAGTTCGGGAGTCTGACGCGAGGCTTCCAGGAAGCGAAACCCGAGTACAATTTGCTTCCATGCGGGGCCACCCTCCAGAGTCAAGGTGTCATAGGATGTCCCACTTAATAATCGCACCCTCGCGCTGAGACGGGCACCAGCTTAGAGGAGTTCGCCTTGCCTGCGCCAGGAGATCCTCGCCTGCTGCCAACGTGAGCCAGGGGGACTTCCTGACGGTGGGCCTGCAGAACATGCTGCGTGCCACCAGCGAGAGCCTCAGCGACACGCGCGCGGCGGTACAGGAGGGGCAGGCTGAGCTCAGGCGCCTCCTGAACTTCCACGGCGGGGGCAGCTTCATGAGGGGCTGGAGGCTTGAGCTGGACCCCGACGGCGTCCTGCAGATCGACTTTCAGACCTTCTGCCGGGCAGCCGGGCGCATCCGTTTCTCCGGCGACACGCAGGCGCTCTTCTCCGTTGACGCCGACAGCAGGTACCTGACGATGGAGGAAGTGTATCCTGCGAAGGGCCAGCTGATGGGCCGCTTCAGGCAGTGGATCCAGCAGACGTTCGGCTCACCCGTGGCCTTGTTCCATGCAGCCTCCCATGGCGCGGCGACAGTAACGAGGGAGCAGTTTTGCGAGTTCCTCCAGGAGAAAGAGTGGGGCACGGACGCCAAGGAGCTCGCGGACATCTGCGACTGCATCGACTTCGTGGACTCGGGCGACGTCAGGATGGACGACGTGCTGTTCCTGGAGCTGGACCCCAGGATGCGTGACGAGTACATGTTCAGAGTGAGGATGGACTCCATGCAGGAGTGGCGCATGCAGGCCGCGCAGGACTTCGTGGAGATGTCCCGGACGCAGGGCGCGGAGCTCGGCCAGGGCGGCGCCAAGAGGGCCACACACAGGCTCGCCCCGCGCCCCTGGCAGGAGCACACGTTCGAGAAGCTGCCCCACGTGGCGTGCCAGGAGCGCTACCGCAAGGCCCGCGTCCTGAGGCGCAGGCAGACCGCGGCGAAGAGGCCACTGGGGTGCAGCTCCTGGGGGGCCAACACACAGAATCGGCGCTGGGACATCCCTTGGTCAACAACAGGCGTATAGTCTGATGTATCCCCGCTTCTGCCGGCCAGCGTGGTCCGGGCCGGCTGAATCCCGCTCAATCCGGCCCGATCCGGCCCGCTGGCTTGACAGGCAAGTCTTCCGAGCATTTTCTTTGGGTGGAGGGCATGGGGTGAAATATGAAAATGCCCTTTCGACGGATTTTCGAGGCCCGAATCTGCCAAAGGCGAGTCACAAGCAGGATTTCAGAGCGTGAATTACCTACCCCGCTTTCGCTTCAAGGCAAAACCAAGCCATACCACGCGCCTCCTCGTCAAGCGGCCTGACCAGTACAGGCTGCAGTTTGGCATCGTTTGGTATCTCTTGGAAGCGAGGGTGGTCAAAAGCGAGGTAGGTTTGTTTTCCCCCTAGGATTGGCTTTCGATTCTCGAGGTGCCGAAGCCCGTGCGGATTTCACATGATTTCACCCCGAGCCCTCCACCCTCAGAAGGTACTCAGGCCTCGGCCGTTCTGACGAAGACGGAGGGAGGGGGGAGGAGGGAGGAGGGAGGGGGGAGGGAGGAGGGGGGAGGGAGGAGGGAGGAGGAGGAGGGAGGGAGGAGGGGGAGGAGGAGGAGGAGGGGGGGGGGGGAGGGAGGAGGGGGGAGGGGGGAGGGGGGAGGGAGGAGGGAGGAGGGGGGAGGGAGGGGGAGGAGGGAGGAGGGGGGCGGCAGGAGGGAGGAGGGGAGCCGCCCACGAGAGGTCCTTCCAGAAGCACCTGCAGGCCACCTTCGGGCACGAGGTGCGGGCCCTGCGCCGCTCCCTCGGCGGGCCGGGCAGCCCGTACTTCGTCTGCCGGGACATCCTGAGGCCAGGGCTCGAGCGAAGCTCGGGCCGGACGAGAGGGGGAGGAGGAGGAGGAGGAGGAGGAGGAGGAGGGAGGAGGAGGAGGAGGAGGAGGAGGAGGGAGGAGGAGGAGAGGAGGAGGAGGAGGAGGAGGAGGAGGAGGAGAGGAGGAGGAGGAGAGGAGGAGGAGAGGAGGAGGAGGAGGAGGAGGAGGAGGAGGAGGAGGAGGAGGAGGAGGAGGAGGGAGGAGGGGAGGAGGAGGAGGAGGAGGAGGAGGAGGAGGAGGAGGAGGAGGAGGAGGAGGAGGAGGAGGAGGAGAGGAGGAGGAGGAGGAGGAGGAGGAGGAGGAGGAGGAGGAGGAGGAGGAGGAGGAGGAGGAGGGAGGAGGAGGAGGAGGAGGAGGAGGAGGAGGAGGAGGAGGAGGAGGAGGAGGGAGGAGGGAGGAGGAGGGAGGAGGAGGAGGAGGAGAGGAGGAGGAGGAGGAGGAGGAGGAGGAGGAGGAGGAGGAGGAGGAGGAGAGGAGGAGGAGGAGGGAGGAGGAGGAGGGAGGAGGAGGAGGAGGAAGAAGAAGAAAGAAAGAAGAAGAAGAAGAAGAAGAAGAATAAGAAAAAGAAGAAGAAGAAGAAGAAGAAGAAAAAGAATAAGAAGAAGAAGAAGAAGAGGAGGAGGAGGAGGAGGAGGAGGAGGAGGAGGAGGAGGGAGGAGGCCGAGGGGCTGGGGGCTGGAGAGCGAAAGGGCCGAGGGGCTGGTTCGAGCCAAGCATTTGCGACAACGGGTGAAGTTGGTTCAGGAGAGGGAAAAAATACACACAGACACAATTAATCGTCGATTCCCACGAAAAAAATATGGGGAGATATGGGAAGTGGGGGGGGAGGACAAAAACCCAGAAACTATGGGGAAATATGGGGAATCTTTTTACTTGTGTGTATTTATTTGTGTGTCCTGGGGCCCCTCCGCTAAACTCGGGCCGGACGAAAGGGGGGGATTGGGAAAGGGGGGTTGCGAAATCTGCTGCATGCAGCTGGTTTCGGCCCCACCGAGGGGCCCATTCCTCGATACATCTGCCGCCTCCGGCGCCGGGAGGCGCCGGGAAAAAATCAGCTACCCGAGCTGATTCTCAACCCCCCCCCTTGCTATCCCCCCCTTTCGCCCGGCCCGATTAACGGTGTTTCGGCGATGTTAAAACAGGGCTAGGATCGGGATAAATCGCTCCAGAGCGTTCCGGAGCGCTCTCAGAGCGTTCAGGAACGCTCTGGAGCGGCCGCGGCGCCCAATACATCCTCCAAGCCCGCCGATTCTCAGAGATTTCGATTCATCCCGATCCGATTTTGTCCCGATCTTTGCGTCGTTTTGGATGTCGCGGGCCGTGTTCGATCTGATCTCGCCCGCGCAGCAGGGGCGGAGGGGAGACAGAGCGAGGCAGAGCGGGAGCGACACGAGAGCGCAAGCCGTGTTTAGGTCGAGCCCTGCCTGAGGCATCAGCTCAGCAAGTCGATCCTCCAGGTGGACGCGCGAGCCCTTTGGCAGGCCCTCGACGAGGATGGGTGGACACACCGAAATTTGCTCCAATCGTCGAATCGCCCTGCTTGATAGCAAGAGGGCGCGTAGACCAAGGGAAGAACTGGTCACAGAAGAGCGTATGCGAGATATGGCGCCCTTTTTTCTCACCGAGATTAAGGTTGTTTCCACGAGCAGATTCTGCCTGACTGTTCTAGCTTCTGGCTTGTTCTGCGCAAGAGTGCTGGTTGGCGGCGACGGACGTCCATGCCGCATGGTCCCCAGAGTGGTTCTCACAGTGGTGCCCCGGATTGCCTTGGGTTCGTTCTGGAAGGATTTGGTGTGTTCTTGGTTGTGCTGGTTTGTGCTGCGTTGTCATATTCTTAGCTGGTGTTGGCTTGCAGTGCCGCGCCAGGATGGATCATGATGTGTCAACCTGCGCACTTCCGTGCCATGCCTTGTTATGTCCTGACTTTCAACGCCTGAAACGATGTGACATAGACATATACATTACACATAAATGATATTCCAGCTTGTCACGCAAGTGCGAAATGCTGTTCTATACAAAAAGGGCATTGCTATAGCATGCAATGTGCAATGCTATCATGTGGACGGCGATGTGATTCAATCCCATGCCACGAACTTGCACAAAATGCCATGCCATGGATTGCTGTTTTATGCTCTGAGCACAACGCAGTGGTGTGGTACGGCATCCAATGATATGCAATGATCTTCCAATGTACGCTATAGCATGCAGTCCCGTCCAACGCTGTACCGTGGATGGTATGTTGCGTCATGCGATGCCATGCAGTACGATGACATGCCATGCTTATGCCGTGCAATGGCATGCCACCATAAGGCGCAACGTTGCTGTACTATGATGATCAACGCTACGCTATGCCAGTCGTGGCCATGTGATTATATGAGATGCTCTGATCGTTTTGCGACGCGATGCGATGCTAACATATACAATATTGCTGGTGCTGTCTTACGCCATGGCATGCATGATTCGCCATGCCGTTCCAGGCTGTACGATGTTGTTACATCCCATATGGTGCAGTGCCATGTCATGCCATGATGTCTTCTTGCATGCCATCCTATGGTATGGCTTGAATTTCATCGCATTGCAGTTCAGAGCTGAACACACGAACGCACTCATCAAGAACACTACCCCTAATTGGCGTCACGCCACGTGACAACTTCAACTAGCGGGTGTACCAGCATGACTTCGTTAATGTCTGCATGTCTAACCAGAATTCACGCGATGCTCACCATCCAGAACTTTTTCCCAGGCGAGTTGATGTGAGAACGGGCGTGGTGGTGGGGGCACAAGTCAAACCGAATGAGAGATGCTCCCAAGCCGCCCAAAATTATCGTCGACTTGGGGCCCCTCTGGGGTTTCTTGGCTGGGGCCGTATAGTCCTCACTTGTTCAGATGGAGTTTGGCCATCGTTTGTAGCCTCTGTGTGGATCTACGGCTACCTTTTTGGAGCCCTCAAGGCGGTGGCCCCATCGGCCGCCTCGTGTCCAGACAACTCCAGACGTGTTGGCGCCGCCGTAGTTGCGGCGGCGTGCCAGTGTTTATCATCCGCAAGGGCCCCCTGCCGCCGGCCCCCTCGCTCGGATAATGAGCTCTGCAAGAGCTGAATGGTGCGGCCTCGGCGCCGCCGTGAAGCAGCCTCGGCAAGAGAAATTGAGGTTCTGATGATATTGTTGAACTCAGTGTTGCATTTTGAACCTGCCTCCGTATGCTGTGCACTGAGGTTTCCCACAGAATTTCGGACATGTGGCAAATCCCATTTGTTTTTTTTTCGACCCTGACCCTGCTGATCTGCGTGAGGGGTGCCGCCGATCTGTCTGATTGTCAGAGCGGAATAGCGTAATCTACGCAGGTTTATGCCTTCGGAGACGCGAATCTTGGGTAATTTACGCGGGTGAATGGGTCACAGATATTGCATCATTTACGCAGGCTTATGGCTTCGGAGACGCGAGTCTCGCGTAATGTACTAGGGTTTATGGTTTCGGATACGCGAATACAGTGTAATTTGCGAGGGTTGATGGCTTCAGCGACGAGAATCTTTAGTAAGTTTGAATGGTTCATTGCATCGGGAATGCAACTATCACATAATGTACGAGTGCTTATGGCTTTGGAGACGCGAATATATTGTAGTTTACTAAGGCTCATGGCTTCGGAATCGCGAACATCGCGTGGTTTACGAGCGTTCGTGTCCTCGGGGACGCAAGTATTGCG